GGCTCACTAGCTCGAAACTAACAGAATCCTAAATTACACGGAACTCAAAGTAACTACTGCTCTCTCTTCATTAACCCTGCTGGCTTTCTCTGCCAGGCTTACATACTAATGAAGAGGGCATCTCGGCTTTCCCTGATCATTTGAGAAACATCATGCACGCTACCTGCGCCAAACGCACAAGCAGTGTCACGTGACTTCTGCTGTCGTAACAATATATATGTATATTAGGAGTTACTATAGACAGATCAGAATTACATGTATATTATATATATATGTATATTAGAAGCTACTACAGACAGATCAGTATTAGATGTATATTATATATATATATATATATATGTATATTAGTAGCTACTACAGACAGAGCAGTATTACCTTTAATATTATATATATAGATATATTATGCTCATGAAAGGTGACTTTTGTTATTTCTCTGATGTAATGAAGTCAACTTTCACAAGAGATAAGGTAAATGCTGTTTACTCTCTGTTTGATTTATAGGTGGTTTGGTGTGAAGTAACTATAGTTATATTGTGTTCTGACTTTTTACTGTTTACTCTTCAATAAAGAGGGAAATGTGAGTGTTTGCCTATAATATTCTTGATGTTCGCCTATAACATTTGTGATGTTTTTCTATAAATGTAAGTGTTTGCCTATAATATTCTTGATGTTTGTCTTTAAATGCGAGTGTTTGCCTATAATATTCTTGATGTTTGTCTTTAAATGTGAGTGTTTGCCTATAATATTCTTGATGTTTGTCTTTAAATGTGAGTGTTTGCCTATAATATTCTTGATGTTTGTCTTCTTCATTTTCTTCTGTATCAAGTAGAGATGTATCTTACATCCACATTCTTAGCATGTTAGATGTTATAAAACTGGTTAATTCTGTTTAAAAACAAGGGGTCTACGATGTATATATTGACCATGCTGAGGTGATTTGTATCTTAGTAACCATCATGTCTAGGAATGGGAGATTGTTACTTTATTCTGGTTCTACTGTGAGTTGTATCGTTGGTTTATGCCTGTTTGTGAATTTTGGAATACATGAGTATTTTATGAAGTTGTTATTACACCTGACCCACATCCAGGACCTTAAAGCAGTTAATTTTTAATCATAAATTCTATTACTTCTTTAATGTTAATTTCATTAATTACTTTCATATGCATATTTATTTTATGTTTTTATCATAAAGATTATTTTGCATTGTTAATTTAGTATGTGGATTTAGGACTAACCTAAGTACCTTAAACTGAATGAATGTCATGATATATTATCATGTTAACAACTAAAAATATTGCTAACAGGCAAAGGTACCTGACTGATACAACCTAATTGTTATAAGTAAGACTGGTAAATTAAAATCATTACGGGGTTAATTTTAATTTCTGATCTATGGAAATAACTTGTTTAGATCAGAAGCTTATGATAAATAGATGTAACTGAGAATTGGTGATATGGGGTGAGACCATAGCTAGGCCTTCTAGTTGTTTTTGGTAGTATCTATCTTCATGTTGTTAGTTGTAGTTATAAAAAAGCTTGTGAAGTAAATTTTCATGAAGTTTGTCAGTTGGGTGTATTCTTTGTGAGTTCCATCATTTTCAACATGTTTAAGGAATATTTGTAGCATGTCAACAGTTGGAAACATCGATTATTATCTAAGCCTAATTCCATTGTAATACAGTCTTTATTGTCTGATGAAAGGCATCTGCTCAAAACTTCACACAAAATAAAAAATAAAAAGCTTTCATTTAAACATGTCAATTTATTCATTATTATCATTTATACAAGAAGAAAGAAACATCACTACAACCTTCCTTGACAATGGATACATTGAACACTTGACAAAGAATACAAACACCAAGAAAAACAAGTCACTACAACCTTCCTTGACAATGGATACATTGAACACTTGACAAAGAATACAAATACCAAGAAAAAAAGTCACTACAACCTTTCTTGACAACATATACACTGAACACTTGATAAAGAATAGAAATACCAAGAAAAAAAGTCACTACAACCTTCCTTGACAATTGATACACTAAACACTTGATAAAGAATACAAAAACCAAGAAAAACAAGTCACTACAACCTTCCTTGACAATGGATACACTGAACACTTGACAAAAAATACAAACACCGAGAAAAACAAGTCACTACAACCTTCCTTGACAATGGATACACTGAACACTTGATAAAGAATACAAAAACCAAGAAAAACAAGTGACTACAACCTTCCTTGATAAATAATTGGTAATTAGTTACAATTTAGATAATTGTATAGGCTACTAGCCAGAACATCATACACATTATAAATTGAAAAAAAAGGATAACTTACTGGTAATTAGTTACAATTTAGATAACTATATCGGCTACTAGCCAGAACAACATACACATTAAGAACTGAAAAAAAAGAGAGATAACTAACAGGAAATTAGTTACTATTTAGATAACTATATAGGCTACTGACCATTATAACATACACATTAAGAATAAAAAAAAATATAAATAACTGTTAATTTGTTACTATTTAGGTGATTTTACAGGCTAATACCAGAACAACAAACATATTTTAATATGATAAGATAAGATTTTAGAAGGTGTCTATGTCATACCCCATGTCTTGTTATTTCCTCCTCCACAGCAGGTAGATGAAGAGCTAGAAGAGGACGTGTTTTCACTGCTACATCATCCTTTCTCAGCTGCTCGAGTATGTCTTCTAGATCATCCACAAGCTTCTTTTGTTCAGCCATCATATTCTCATGGTCAGATTTCATCTTCTGAACTGTCTTTCGCAAGTTATTTAGCTGAGCTTTCAATTTCTGAAGCTCATCCATAATGGAATTGCGATCAGAAACAGAGCCTTCACTTCCAATCTTTTCCCCTTTATCTTGAGTGGCTGTGAGCTTGGCTTCACATTCTACGATCTGGTCCAGGAGATTCTGATACTTTCTTAGCTTATCTGTAGAATCAGCCTGGGTTTCTTCTACTACCGTAATAGTCTTGGTACATTGGCTAATGATGTCTGTTATCTCTCTTACGCTTGAATGATACTGTTCCCTTTGTGCAACAGACTGCTTGATTCTCGCATGCTGGTTTTCTGCAGCCCTGACTGCATCTTGATACTGGCTTAACAATTTCTGTAATTCTTCAGTGAGTTGAGTATGAGGTTTTAGCTGATCTATTTTTTCTTCAACTTCTTGAAGTTTCTTCAAAACCTCCTAAAAAGTTTCAAACATCAGAAAATTATAGTTCAGATCATTAAAGCTTTAGACCCTAGTAACATGAAGTCAAGGGCCCTTCACATAAAATGAAACAAAAGTATCATTATTCATTTACACAATATCAAGAAATATTTCATATAACATCACTAATGCATTTTGTTGTTTTTAAGAATTTGAAGGGATTTTGACATTTTAGCAATCAAGTTGTAAAAAAAAAAGACATTTACTCTCCAGATAATAACAAAAATTATAATTTTGCTATAATGAAAATGTTTTTCTGATAGGTACTTACCTCCACTCATAAATTAACTATTCTCGTTCAGTGCTGCCCTCTATATACAAACTTTTTCTTTACGCATGCCACAAGCCTTCTATTGGAATTGAAAGATTCCAATGTGTCTCTCATGCAAATCATCATGCATCACCTCTCCACCAATAAGAGCATGATATGCTCTACCGAACTATCACTTCAAAGTGAGAGGGGGGGTGTTAGAGGAAGTAAGTACTTATCGGAAATACATTTTCAGTATAGAAAAATTATAACTTACAATACGGTACTTACCTCACTTCAGAAAATTAGCTAGAATCCTGCATTGAATAGTGGGAGGGACAAGTGCAAGGAAATGATAGAAGTACCCCCTGAAAGTGTCCGTAGGATATCCCTGGAAATGAGAGAGTCAGATCCGAAGATTAGATGAGGAGAACTGCACTACTTCTGAACCATGTATACTCTTTGCCCCTCTGTGAAATGTGGAGAGGAGCACATACAAGTGGGAGAGAACTGTATCAGGATCAGGATCCTAATGATATAAAATAAAGATAACTCAATCCCACAAATAGAAAAGTGGGTAGAAAATTGGATATGCCCTCAGATGTAGAGTGGCTAGAGCATGACAGACTATACTCAATAAGTCAACTACAGCCAAAACCCATGCCACTGGGAACCGACATCCAAGCAGGAGGTAGAATGAGGATCATACCATCTTCACCTCAAACCCATGGAACTGGGGGATTGAGAATCTCCCAGGTATGACACAATTATTAGCACTGAGCTATTGATTCGAGGACTTTACATCAGGTATCGCAAGGATGTCTACCCATGCAATCAACTTCCCCAACTGTGAAACTTATCAGGACCATCCAAAAGTCAATAACATCCCCACATTAAGATAGAACGAGGAAGAGCCAAAGCAGAGAACCATAACAATCCCACATACTACGTCTGAGACCCACAACATAGATGGAGGAAGATAGACAACCCAAAACATGTGTGAAAACTTATATTGATTGTTTCTACTCTAAATTGAAGACCCAGCCACGAGGTACCAACATTTGTGCAGGGGTAGGGTGAGGGCTCCCAATCATAAGGGTGAACTGCATTTTGATGTATCACTCCTTCGTAATTGTATATCTCAAAGGGTAGGACAGTCCAACATCTAAACCCCTAGAACACCACTGCTATACTATGCACTGAATGGTCATAGCTATCTTTGTGTGGAACCCATTCAGGTGGGTGCCTTCACAGTCTACCACCCCTGTGGCTTGGAACTGGAAAGTGGTAAGGACTCCCATACTCCACTAGAAGAAAGGAGGGTGAAAAGGCGGTGGAAAGTCCGGAGGAACGTTATCACCTGAGACAGTGCAATGGATGACCATGAAACCCTATTTTGAAAAGCAGACCATTCCGAGCTATTCACTGCAGGCATGGCAGAGATGGGCAGCTATCGCCTTTTGCTTTACTCATGCAGGTAGTACGGTCCAGGACGTGCATGTTTATGAAGCAAAATATTGCGAAGTTATTCACCTACAAGCGATCTTGTGGAACATCCCATCTCAACAGCAAGCATTGCAAAGCCATGGAATATAAAGTGTGAGTCAACATAGTTGTACAAGTTAAAACTATCTCCACAGGTATCCTTTACTGCACATGACACAAAGTTTTAGTGTCTTACATTTAAAATTTTATTAAACTATTTTTTGTTTATGTTATGCCAATTAGTACAGTGTAAAATATTAACTAATAACCCATATTTTAATAGCATATAAGTTTAAGTTCTTAATTCTATAAGGCAATATTTAAAAAAAACTGAGTTTTCCCTAGTGTGACACACACACATGACACATTTTCTCTAGGTATCTTCTCCTCTCTATTTTATCCACCACCCCTATAAAATGTACGAAATTAAATGTAAATTACTCACTATAAAATCATCATTGCTCAGACAAACCAGAAATTTATATTAATTACAGAGCTATTAAATAGAAAATCAGACCACTCCTGCTTCACCTCCCTGTCACATCCTCTCTTTCAGGATTTGTTAATAGTTCTCTCTTATAGTTAGTTATATATTACTTATAACCAATAGAAAGTCAAGGTTTTTATCTATCAAATGATGCATTGTATAATGTTGTTTTCTGAACAGATAAATGTCAATTTTAATCAGTACAATCTTCATTCTCATGGGAAAGTTAATGACTTTGGATGGAAATGTATGGCAAAATCAGGAGGCAGAAATAGATGACTCAAGTCTTCGTCAGTCTGAACAGTCTCTGCCTGTGTCAAGGTTCGAGACAAAGGCTGGCCCATGTAACGTTCGATCTCACAGTGGATAAATGCAGATAAATATACCATCAGGTTACCTGCACCTGAGGCCTGAGAAATAACGCTAGTCACTAGTGTGAACCTCTAACTGGTAACATGAACTTAAGAATTAATTGTGAAGAAGAGTCCACCAAATTTGAGCAGTGAGAAAGAATAATGTGATTGAAAAAAATTTAAAGTGAAGAAACTGTCTGAATGAAAACTAAATTAATTAAAGAAAACCACTTAGTGAGGAAACTTAAGCCAAGTATGAATCTTTATACAAACATTAAGCACATCCGAACACACGTGCTGCCAAACAAGAAGTAATAGTTCTGTAGAGGAGTATAGAGGGAGTCACATGTGTCATGTGAGCATGTCATGCTCCTATTGGTGGAGAAGTGATGCATGATGATTTGTAAGTACCGTATCAAAAATACAACTTTTTATTTCAGCCAAAGTTCTCCCATTGCAGTTTCATTATGGCTAGTAGTACAAGAATTGTTTTATTATTATTTTGAGATCACACCTCTGTTTTTTTTATGGTTGTAAGACACCCACCTCACAGGTTTCAAGCAAGACACGTGAATCCTCTACAGAGACACCCATTGGTTGATTGAGAGTACACAGTTTCGTTTGGAGCTCTTCCAACATTTCTGTTGTTTCTTCAACATGAGTCACTTGTTCATGATGAACTTGAAGAGCATCTTGCAGTGCTTCTAGACGCTCTTTGATGAGTTCTTCTAACCTAAAGGTAGGAAAATAAGAAACATCACTAAACAATTATATTTAAACAAATACACTTATTTCTAGCATCATATATGAAGAAATAGCAAATTAAAATTCATAATGTACCTCTTTCTAATCCACTTTTTTACTTTTGTTATTTTAAAGTAGTTTCTTTTACACAGTCTGATCTTAAGCTTGCAAATTTAAATGATACTGTCATTCTTCTCTGAAACTTCAAATACCTAAATTGTGAGTAAAAGTTTAGTAGCTTGTTGAATCAGAAGCATCTTCTTCATCCATAGCTTTACTGAACTCTGGTGGATGAAACATCACGATACGTTCACTTGATGCACATTGAACATAGGTTGAGTATCCTTGAACCAAGGATTAGTGTTCTAATAGTTGAGCCAATTATGTACCCTCACACCTGGGGCAGCAGAATTCATAACCATTGAGAGAACTGGATTCATGTTTAAACTGAAATAATAATAAGTGTCTAAAATGCTTGCAGACTCTCTACATTATGATGTTTAATTTCTTAATGGTTCCTGAGTGTGAGCCTGTATATGGTAAAGAGATCATTAGTCATAGCTTTGAGACATCATAATTCAGTGACCTAACTAGGTATACAGGGTCCAACAAAAGAAGTGTGAGCATTTAAACTGGAATCATCGACAACAAAATCTGTTGATATAATTTGTGTTTATTATTTATGATGCTGTAGATGAAAAAAATTATTATTATACCTTTAAGTATGAAAAATAATATCCACTATGAACTACTACACACTGATGTGCTCTAAGGATGACATTTTCCATTGCAGAGGTTAAAGTTTCACTCATAGTGTCATAAATTTTTGTTATGATGTTATCTTTCAAATCCTGTAGTGTCTGTGGCTTGTTGATATATATTCTTTCCTTTATATAATCCCACAAAAAGAAGTCTGCTGCTGACATATCCAGGGATCTTAGAGGCCTGTTTATGTCTCCATTACAAGAAATTACCCTGTTTGGGAACAGTTCATGCAACATTGCTCTTGTTGCTCATGATGTATGGCAGGTGGCTCCATCCTATTGAATCCCCAATTCCTATTGATGACATGTTTAGAAGGAGCAACTTTAACAGTTCTTGATGGTATGCTCTTTGAGCAGTGATGATGGGGCAATTAATTTTGAAATAAAGTTCCACAATAGGAGAACATACCTGGATTATCCACCTGTTCATCACTACAATATGAACCCTTAATCTTCATTCAGAAAAAAAAAAGACAATTTTTATTCAATACTTTGAAAAATCTAACTATATAAAATCCCTACACTTCTTTTGGTGGAACCTATATTTGTTGACAGGTTTTATTGATGTATAAAGTTGTTTGGGAAGGAGTTAAGTTTTAAAACAGATTTTAGTCTGTGTAACTCTTGCTGTAGGTAAGTGGTGATACATGGGACATCAGACATTTCACATGGTTGTGTTTGAAATGAAGTGGAACAAATTTATTAAAGCAAGTGTACTGTCCAGTTTAGGTGGGTTTCTGATAAGAATCAACATCACAATGTCAAGAAAGGGTAGAACAGAACACTGTTAGCATTCACTGGTTAGTTTAATGTTAACATGTTTACTTTTCATAAATTCCACAAACTTGACTGACATATATGTCATGAACATAATTATTGTAAATAAGTAATCTGGACTCAGTAGGACAATCTCTCACCCAAATATCTTCATGAAAACACATGAAAGCATTAGCTATTATGGGCATTAAGCTAGATCCCATGCTGACCCCATGAATCTGTTCATAAAATTTCCCACTGAATGGAAAGTTAACATTTTCCAACACTACAAATGTATTTCTGATAGATACTCACCTCTACTCACTCACATATAGTTTTCCCAATTTAGTGCTTCCCTCTATGTGTAAACTTTATTGCTTAACACTAGTCTTAAGACTACTACTTAATCTCATCTTCATTCAAATGATATTGCTGCATTGTAGCATGCAAATGAGCATATGACAACCATCCACCAATAGGAGTGTGACACTGCCTCCTAGTTCAGCTGGCTCCCTCTATACAGATTGTTCAATCATCACTATGATGATTAAGCAAGAGAGTAGGATGCACCAGAAGTAGAGAGGATGGGTGGGAAGTGTGAAATGAGGGGAGTATCTATTAAAAAACATTTTCATTGTTGGAAAATGTTAAATTCTGATACAATATATAACTTCAGCTCACATCTAGCTAGAATTCCACACTGAAGTAGCAGAAGAACCAATGCCAAATTAAACCTAGATGAGCCACTTTCAAGAAATGCCCAAAGGGATCCCATGGAGTGTGACATCCTATACCTTGGAACAACATAGGGCACACCTGTGAGAGACCTCATCTCTTCTGTACCAGGGTGCTTTCTTCATCCAGAAAAGAAACGAAGAGATGTAGGAATGAATGTACCCTCACCCTTAAGCATCACAAATATTTGAAGATGAAAAGTGAGATCCCGATATGAAAGGATATAGGAGTGATGAAATAGAATGTGGAAGAACCGATGATGTACACAATGTCATCTACCACAGACAAAAAAGAGGAGGAAATAGATTTAATGGAGGAGATGTCATTAGGAATAGGAAGTAAAGGTTCAAAGAGAGGAATGTTAAGGGGATGGAGAAAAACATTAAGGTCCCAAATGGGCAGGCTAGAAGGATGGGGTGGTGAAGGAGGTGAAACAAAGGAAAAACATTGTAAGGACTGGGGAGGAAAAAACCCAAGGGAAATGGAAAACTGGAAAGTAGTAGAGAGAGCCACCCAGTAACCAGCAATAGTCAAGAAAGATAAATCCTGTTTAAAGAGCTATGTGAATAACTCGGATAAATGGGGAATAGAAAGATGACAAGGAAAAAAACAATGCAATGAACAATGGCAAAAAAATATGCCATTTCTGCTGATACACCATGAGGGAGAACAGGCAAACATAATTGGAAAGAAGGAAGGCTACAAATGAATATAATCCAAAATACCATGATAGGGACCAAAAAAATGTCATGCATGAAGCCAGAGCAATGACATGGCTGGATGAGAGAGAGTAGAAGGCTGAAGTAGAAGAGAGTGTGAAAGTGGAATAGGAAGAGGGCAAATGCTTACCTTTTGCGATGTTCTTCCAATCTTTGAAGTTCACCTTCAATAAAAAGTTTTTCTGCTTCTTTAACTTTGCCTATTATACTTTCAGCAGCCTTCTGTAGGTTATGCAAGTCATCTACAAGAACACGAGACTCTTCTTCCAGTTTGGTATGGGTGGTAATCTGTTCCTCTAAACCATCTTCTGCTACATCTGTTCGGACATCACTGGCAAGACTAGACTCTGTCAGATTCAACCAATGGTTAATATTTTCTCGCAGACGTTCATACTGCTGCAGCTCAGCAAACAATTCTTTGGCAAAATTAATCTTCTCTTCAAGGATTCGTTTCAGTTCCTCCAGCTTCATTGTGATTTCTTTAATGAGGCAAGGTAAGCATTAAAGTAAAAGTTAAGCAACTGGTAAAAATAACTTATTAATATGAGTATATCCTAATATATAAACCAAATTAATGAAAAAACAGACATATTAAATTGTCAAGAAATTAATGTCCCTTTTTTCTAGACAAAAAAAACCCTAACAACTTATATATCAAAACAAAACATTTATTAAATGAAATACTCTCCATTCTTCTTGATGATGCTTTTCCATCTTACAATCAGGTTGTTAATGCCCTGATTAAATAAATCACTTGCCTTTGAAGCAAAAAACATGTCGATATCCTCTTTAACATTTGTATACATTTTCCCATTAAGACGGTGTTGCAGCAAACGAAAAAGATGGTAATCTGATGGTGCCATATCTCGAGAATATAGTGGGTGGGGGAGAACTTACCAACCCAACTCCATAATCTTGTGTTGTGCCACATGTGGACGTGCATTGTCGTGGAGAAGAAGAACACCTTTCTGATTGATAAGTGAAGGGCGTTTCTGATGAAGAGTTTGATTTAAATGTTCCAGTTGCTGACTATAGATCTCTGCATTGACAGTTCACTGTGGATTGAGGAGTTTGAAATGAATTACTCCTTTGATGTCCCACCAAATGCAAAGCATCACTTTCTGTGGATGGAGTCAAGGTTTTGGGGTAGGAAGTGGTTTTTGTCTAGGACTGAGCCATTGTTTTTGGCATTTAATATTCGCATAGAGAATCCATTTTTCATCACTGGTGACAAAAATGGTTCACGCGCATTACATGCCAGAAGAGACAAAACAACGTTCACACGTTGGAAACGATGATCATCAGAGAGTTCGTGAGACACCCAAACACCTTCTTTATGGAG